GATGTTCGATCTGTAATAAAAAATAAAAGGGGTGGCAAATGGATCAACCCGACCCGATCCGACCCATATAAATTTTGATCCGACCCGTATAATATTAACCCGACCTTGCCCCTCAAATAATCGGATCAACCCATTTGTTAAATAAGTAACCGACTGACCCAAGTGACACGTCTAATTATTTTGTAATTTTCATGTACATAACATAGAGTCCATGATCAACGTTTTAATGGTCCTATTTATCATTCATAGGTTTTATAATGTTTAGAAGTTGATATGATTAGGGTGTTTTTTATAAATTTGAATTTTGAGGGTTTTATATAATTTAAACGTTCTATTGTGTTTTCTGCTAATATCATTTTCTCAGTGGACTTTTTCTAATTTATAAACTTTATACCCTTTTTACATTTTGACTTTTCAGTTTTTTAAATTTTGAATTTTTAGGTTTTTTTGTAATTTTTAAAACTTATAGGGTGTTTTTAACAAATACCAAAATTTTAATGTTGATGTTTACAAGCTATAGATTTTGAACTATTTGTAGGCTTTCATATTTTTGGCATGTATTTCTATAAAATTTGATTTTAAGGTGTCCTTTGCAAATTTCAAAATTTTTATGTTGTTGTTTATAAGTTATAGATTTTGTAGTACTTATAAGTTTTGATCTTATGTGATGTGTATTGTAAAATTTGACTTTTTTAGGGTCTATTTTGCAATTTTGAAACTTTTAGGGTGTTTTTTGTAAATTTCAAAATTTCCACTGTGCTATTTATAACTTATAGGTTTTGTATTGTTTGTAATTTTTATTGTTCCGGGGAGTATTTCTATAATAGTTTGACTTTTTAGGGTGTATTTCTCAATTTTCTAAACTTTTAGGGTTTTTTTCAAATTTGAAAAATATCATGATGGTGCTTATAACTTATATATTTTGAACTTTATGTAAGTTCTGATATTTTTGGGGTGTATTTCTGTGAAAGTTTGACTTTTGAGCATGTTTTACAAATTTTCAAATGTTTAGGGTGTTTTTTACAAAATTCAAAACTTTCAGAAGGTTTTTGTGATTTATAAATTATAAAATTTTAACTGTTTGTAAGTTTCAATTTTTCAGTTTTTTAAATTTTGACTTATTTTGGGTGTTTTTGCAACTTTTGAAAGCATTAGGGTCTTTCTGCAAATTTCAAAATCTTCATGGTGCTATTTATAAGTTATAGGTTGTGTAGTGTTTTCAGATTTTGATTTTTCTGGAGTGTGTTTTTATAAAGTTTGACTTTTTATGGTGTTTCTTACAACTTTTAAAACTATCAAGGTGTTTTCTGTAAATTTCAAAAATTTATGGTGCTATTTATAAGTTTTAGATTTTATACTGTGCATAGGTTTTGATATTTCTGGATTGTGTTTTCATTAATTTGACATTTTTAGGGTGTACTTTGCTATTGTTGAAACATTTAGGATGTTTTTTACAAATTTCAAAATTTTCATGGTTTTTTATAATTTATAGTTTTTTGTACAGTTTTCGTAAGTTTTGATATTTTCATGGTTTTTGGTAAATTTTGAACTTTTGAGATGTTTTTTAATTTTTGAACCTCTAAGGTATTTACTACATATTACAAAATTTTCATAATGTTGTATGTAATTAATGGATTTTATAGTGTTTATAACTTTAGATGTTTTATGGGTGTGTTTTTTAAGAATTTTGAATATTAATGGTTGAATGATATATGGATTAAAGTTAAACGGGTCGACGGGTTGACCAGTTTATGACCCGATTAATAAATGGTTCTTTGGGTTGACTCATTTATGACTTGACCCATATAAAGTGACACATACCCATTTATAACGGGTCGAGTCTAGTCGGGTCAGCGTGTCGGGTTATAAATTACCATCCCCAAATAAAATGAGTGGGACATTCTAAAAAAATATAAATTAAATGGGTATAATACTTGGTTAGTAGGAGGTATAAGTAAGGAAGGTAAGGTGAGGTAAGATTCAATGAGATGCAAGAAATGATATACTTTTTGTAGTTCTTGTTTGGTTAGAGGCAGAGTGAGGAGAGATACATAACTTTTTATTTCAAATTACATTTTCCTCTTTCTTCACTCTCTAGTTTATTTTTGCGTTTCTCTCTCCTCACGCTACTCTACTTCATGTTCTCTCCCCCGCTATTGATGTCAAATGTTTAACAGTAGAATTTTATGTGAGTTATAGGGTATGTTGGCCTTCTTGTTTTGATGATGTTTAACAAACAATTTATTACTAATGTTGTTTGTCTAGTGTTTGTACATTCTTATATATTGTAGACAAATAACGTAGTTGGAGGATGGATGGAATAGAGCTTCAACGATGATATCCAAAGGAGGTTGGCGGAATGTCGGATTGAAGCCTATACAACAATTCTTAAAGATCAAGTTCAAGCTTCATCCGCATGTGTACCAAGTTGAGCTACAATGAAGATCAAGATCAAGATTGACAAGCTTATATTTAATGAAATCATATTTAGTGTTTTGAATATATTTGCATAGAATATGCAATTTTATGAAAATATTGTATTTCTAGGTTATAGACTTCATAACAACATGTTATATCTTTTATCAAGTCTATACAATCATTTCATAAGGTTTCAAAATGTTGTTTAAGTCAAAATATCAAAATATCAATTTTCAGGTTTTCATGTTTTGGACTATTTTGTAAAATGATGATATTTTTCATTTGGGAAGTCCTTTTTCGAAACCAGTCGTTGTAGCATGTTTATTATCATGTCTACAATCATTCCCCAAAGTTTTACATTTTTCTGAATTTATTTGATATTTTTAAACAGGGTTTTAAAATCAGCTCTAAAACCGATTTTTCTGGAATGTTAGTTTTCGGTCGACCGGTACGGTCGACCGGTCAATTGACCATTCGTCAGTATTTTTCCAGAGAGTCATCGGTCGACCGGTCCGGTCGACCGAGAGCTCAAATCGGTCGACCGACAGAATTTCCGGTCGACCGACAATCTAGCCGTTGTCTTCTAACGGCTATTTTCCTGAGTTGTTTGCTGGGGCTGTTTTGTCATTTGGCTTGGGGGTTTTGGCTGAGCTTTGAGTGGGTATATATACCCCATTGCTGATGTCTTTTCAAGTGAGCCAAGAGAGTTTAAAAACAAGTTTAAGAGAGTTTTAATCAAGGGTTTATGTTTGGTTTAAGTGTGTTTATAAGCTTTTAAGCATTTGAGTGTTTTGGTTTTGTGAATCACTTCCACAAGAGCTTGAGGAGATCATCTATTGGTGTTTGAGCATCCAACTCTTCTCCTTCCACTCTTGATCTATTGAGAAGTTTTCTAAACTCAATCTAGCTTCATATTTTATATTGTTTGATTATCTTTTTATTAAGCTAGTGTTCATATTGAGTTTAGTTGATTTTATTATCTCTTTGTTCACACACAACCTATTGAGCTTATTGTATTTACATTCATAGTATAATTTTGGGTTGTGGGTTTGTGACATTGAGAGTGAGCTTAATTGAGTTCTCACCTTGTTTAGAGAACAATCAATTGATTTATATTGTGCTTAATTGTGAGGATTCACTTGTAATACACTTGTACACCGAGAGAAGTGTGTGGTGAGAGACGGGGTCGAATCCAAGAGGAGTGGCGTCGGTTGACGTGCCTAGGGAGAGGTTGTAACCGAGCACTTGAGGAGGAGGACACGGGCTAGGACCAACACTTAGTGTGTAAGGTGTGATTGCATAGTGATTGTATTGTGAGGTGTAAACGTTATTCGGGTGAACGTAGAAAACCCGGTTGAGATAGTGGAGATCTCCTCGAGGTGAGGAGCGGGGACGTAGGTCGTGGGGACCGAACCTCGTAAACATATCGTTTTGTTTGTGATTGCATTGGCGTACTTTTACATTCGTGCTTATTATTCATATTGCCTTTGTCAATTGCTCATTGTTGTTTTTCCCTCTATCTAGTTTATGATTAATTCACCCTTGTGTTAATTTTATATCCTTGCATATATATTGTCTATATCTCCTTGTTAGGATATATCTTATTATTCATATATCCTTGCATATATTTCTATCATATAGGATATATCACCTTGTGTACATTGCATATTCTTGCACATAACTCTTTGTATATCTATCTTGCAAGAATACATTTGTTGAGTAATTCTAATT